TGTCACTCGTTACTCATCCGTAAACTCGATCTAATCGGCTTTCAGCCTACTCTTCTTCAATGGATCTCTTCTAACCTCTCTGAGAGAATACAAAGAGTTATTTTTAAAAATTGTTCTGCCAGCAAAGCATATTTTTTCATTGTAGTACTGAATGATCAAAAGGGTATGCATTCAACCAAAATTAACATTCTGGCTGATTGCGAATGCTTCTGTATACAGCTTCTATACTGAATGGAACTCTACCATTCAAAAACGCACAACGTTTCGTTTTGTTTCAAAATAATTTAAGCCACTCAGGAATGAGGTTTTTTTTAAATAACCAAACAATCAAAATTTTGAAAAGAATGCCGAATGAATGCAGATCCTACTGATTCAATAATTTTCAGCTCTGGTATTGCGCTGATAGTACTAGTCAAATTTTCTGCAGGGTTATAGAGTGTGATCTTTGTACGACGAGAACACAGGTTTTTGACTTGGGTTCGGAAGGAAACACTTGCATAGCGTTGCAAATTCGCAGGGTGCACTTGATGATTGTTTTTTATTCGTTATTCGAAAAAAAATTTGTTTGATGGTGCGTTTCCGAACATTTTTGCAATTTGCATGTTTTAAATATTTAATTCTTCAAATTAATTTGTATTTTGAGTACGCAATTTTATAGCCATTAGTTTTACAGCGTTATCTACGTTCTTTGTTATGTATTAAAATATTAAGTATTTTTTATTTCTAATTTACATACATAAACAAATGTAAAAATAATTGATAATTAATTTATGTTGTTTTATTTTAGAGTCAAATTTATGAAGATGACGATGTTTTTTACCGAAACATGTTTTTTTTATTAATTTTCAAACGAACTGTGAAATCTGCAATCTGGCAGCGTTGCGCTATTACGCAACACAACAAATTTCAGCCGGCAGCAGAAGGTAGATAGCGACTGATTACACGCAGCATCGCGAATTGATAACAAGTACCGCTACTGATAAAATAAAGGCATATAAATAAAACGTAAGTGCAAGTAATGCAGGGAGTTGTAAATAACAACAAATCGTGCACATGCAATAATGCTTTGCAATTCACAGTGTCTGGGGCATAGCGCAAGTGCGAATATGAAAAGTAAAGTAAATTTGCAAACAAGTACTAATACACAAAAAAAAGGCATACAAAGTTTGCACCACTTAGTTTTAATCAATTCAATTGCATTATCACCATATTAACTGTGACGTATCTCATCATTTCCAGACGACTTAGCGCAGCTCATCACCTATTAACTACCAAAATGGCGAAATTGGACGAGAAAATAGGTTTCATTGGCGGTGGCAATATGGCCTTTGCTATCGGTTCCGGCCTTATAAACAGGNATAATCGAGGCATTGGCTGATGGTGGTGTTAAGCAGGGGGTGCCAAGACAAATGGCGCTGCAATTTGCGGCACAAATGCTGCTGGGATCTGCTAAAATGGTAATGCTGACTGGTAAACATCCAGCGGTGTTACGAGATGAGGTACCTTGTTCACTTTATAATGAAATGGCACATTTTAATTTTGCTTTGCACATATTTTTCAAAAATAGGTTTGTTCCCCTGGCGGTGCAACTATTGTAGGTGTGCATGAACTGGAAAAAGGCAACTTGCGGTAACAGAATACTTCCCCTTGTTCAATCTTATAAAGTTTCATTTAATTTTTTCTCTAGTGCAACGCTAATCAATGCAGTAGAAAAATCCAGTCAACGTGCAGCTGAGCTTGGCAAGAAATAAACGTGCGGCTACACTCATTCCCATCCAGTAAAATAAAGCATTTGTGACAATTTCACCATGGAAAAAACTCTCGAACATTCATACCTTTATTCGGTAAAGGCAATTTTTCATAATTTACGTCTAATCATACTTATTAGCTAAATAATTAAATAAAAAGATTCGTGTTCGCATTTGCAAAGCTGATTATATGCGATCCTTTTTGCTTACGTACTCCACACATTTTGAGGGATCAGTTGGAAAATATTCTTGGCATTTGGTCATCAGCCGCTTCAGCCCCTGGATGTATTTCCGTTGAGTTTCATCGTTCATCACGTGCGCAACATTCTTTGAGAAAATCTTTTCTCGACCTGTACGTGCGTGTATACCCACCATTGTCACACCAATCGGCCATGGCGCATTTCCTATAGCCATCTCCAGATAAGCATCACTGGCAGTGATATAGTCGCGATTGAGCAGACGTTTACAAATATCACGTAAACTATCCAATATATCCTCTGGCAAAGTGTGATGCTTTAGTTTACGGAATAAAGGTTTGACATACTCGCGAGTCTGGGTGAAAATGACGCGAGCCATTTTTGTTTTGGTGGACATTTTCTCTTGTTTGGAATAAGTGGCGATTTGGTCATTCCACATTTTAAGCAAAAAAGTTAACAAAGTTATAATAACATCCATGTCATATTCTTTGTTACCACGGCCCATTTTGACAGCACTCGCTTTAATGCTATCCCACGTTATTGTTTCATCCAGTTCGGCCAAATCCGATTTTTGTTCCTCTTTGGCTGTTGGTGCATTGGCAAACATTTCCTGTAAGTATGCTTGATCTACTTGCTCCATGGCTTCTTGGAAATCATTGCGGAATCCACGGTTCGACTCAGGCTGTGAGATTTCGCACTGCCGCAAACGATGGAAAGCATCCGCTTCGGACTCGCCAAAAATGAGAATTGGCTCGCCACGTTCGCGCAAGCGTCGTATAACTTCGGAGCGAGGAAGAACATTTTGCCCTTCCGAGTCATAGCTGTAGTGCCCTTCTGGTGCTTGGTCTTCCTCACGGCTTTCTTGTTTCTTATAGCCAACCTTTTGTAGGATCTCTTCAGTATTCTTAGCAATGAGTTCGCCCCGTCTAAAATATTTTTTCTTGTCATCGACAAGTTGCTTTTCCTCAAGCAATTTGCGTTTCCTTGCAATTTCAGCTTTAATTATATCCATCTTGTAAATACTTTCTTTACTTTTTTCCTGTAAGATTTTATTTATTTACGTACATTCTTTATCAAAATTTTATTTATGATTTTCCTTTTAAGTGACATTCCGATCAGCTGTTTTCACAGTGTTGACACACGACTCAAACAATTATTTAGCCGTCGGAATGAGGCAACCCTGTAATAAATTTGGAAATGTCAAAATCTGTATAATTATGCGAATTTACGGATTACGGTGTGCCAGAAAGTTAATTAAACGCGATTAGACAAAAGAAAACAAACAAAAATCTCAAAAATATATCAAAAATGCCAAAGAAAATGGGAACTAATTCGAAGGCAGTGGAGGCCCGCGAACGCAAGCAGGCTGTGAAACAAGCCAATAATGAACGGGCAGTGAAGGAGGCTGAGGATCGACTCTGGCAGGACAATGATCGAAGTCTAGCTAAGAAGCAACAGCGTCGTGAGGAGGAGGAAAAGAAGCGTGCTGAAGCTTTGCGACGAAAGGCGGAAGCAAAGGTAGGTGTCAGTCCATAGTTTACGTTGACTATGAACAAATATATAAAGGCACATTTTTATAACAGGCGTTACTTGATCAAGAAATGTCTTCAATTAAGACACAAGGTAAACAGCCGCTGGCAAAGATTCATCGTCAACAAATCTTGGAAGAGATGGAAAAGAAACAACGTGTTATCGAAGCCATAAACGCAGCTAAGCCACAGGCGGGAGCACGCATAGTATTACCAGAGCCAGTCATCGAAGAAAACTTGAATCGATCTATGGCGGACGTAGAGATAGCGACAAATGTCGATCAAGCTTTGGCAGCTTTAAGGTAATATTCACATATACATTCATGTAATTGGTCTTGTATAGCTGATTGTCTGTGGTGTTTTCATGCATGGCAGTGTAAAAGACGACGAGGAAGACAAGCATCCTGAGAAGCGAATGCGTGCAGCTTATCGAGCATTTGAAGCAGCTAATCTCCCGCGTATTAAAGCGGAGAACCCATCGCTAAGGATGACACAATGGAAGCAATTACTAATGAAAGAATGGAATAAATCACCAGAAAATCCATTCAACCAAGCACGCTGATATGTTTCCATTCGCCATTGGTATTGTGATCAACCGACTGATTTACTGGATCTGAGTTTGGAACATAATCGTTTGCTCGCGGCTATCCCAAGTGCTGTTCTTATAATTTTAATTGCTTGCACATATTCTGTATAGTGTGCATACATATTCGTATATACAGTTTATTATAAATCTTTTATTATTTAGTAGAAATATTTAATGATACGCATATTATGGTTTAAACAAAGATAAAAGGTATGCATTTTGGTTATTCGAAAAAATCTTAATACCAAACTTGCTCTAGTCTCAGAAATTTTTATTTGATTTTTAACGATAAATTACTAGTAATAGTTTCCTCAATAGTTTGGGCCGTGTTATAGATTTAGGTACGATCAAGAATTGTCACTCAATCGACAGTTACAAAAAGTTAACTAATTTCAAGTAATCCCTACTTATTTTCTTAATGTTAAACAGTAACTTTGTTTAAGTACAATGTTTAAATTAATAAACAATCTTAATGAAGGTAGAATTGAAGCATACGGTAAAAATCCAGTTTTCTTTCAGATAAAAGTAAAGGTAACTAAAAACCAAAACAGTGGATTGTTTATAAAGATTCCACAAAACAATAATTCGTAAGAACAGGGCTCGAATCGTGACAGCCGTTCACGGATCGAAAACGATACGAAAGAAAATTACGTGATACGTCAGGCAGTATATTTTTGGTGCGGTTTAGTTATTTGTAAAACGATTTTGGGTTGTGCCCAAACGCGTGACACGAAACAAAAAACTTTTACACACACTTGTAGACAACAGTCTACGCTAATTTCGGTTTGAAATATAGTACTTTTTGCAAATTTCCGAACAGATCTGTCAAACAAAAAACTTTTCATAACGCGCGGTCCATCCTCTTTCGTTTTGGGGGTTTGAGGGGCCGTAACCGGAATAACCCAGATTCATATCGGGCCAAGGACTGTCACTTCAGCTGTTCCAACAACAACATCTTAAGGCACAACATCATGTTTAGCAAGTTCTGCTGTTCTAGTTGGGAAGCTACCGCAGAGGCCCTTGCTTGAAGCCAAACCTCCTCCCAAGTACGTGTAAAGTCATCTCATAAGTCTCAAAGACTACAAAACGGGTTGTTCATTATCGAAATGCATTTAAGGAGGACAACAGACTATACCCTGCAGGGAAACTGCGAACTAGCGAATCAAATTTCTAGTTCCGTACTAGATCTTTATCGCCAAAAACGAATCAGTCCGATAGTAACTAGATCGCCACCAGTTCAAAAGCAGCGAAATGTGGTTCTTTAAAAAAAGTTATTTTTAGAAATGTGTATATGTATATTTAAAATGACGAAAAAAGAAAGAAAAAGGAATGCAGGATGAAGTAGATCTTATCTGCCGAATTTAAAACTAGTTCGGAACCATCTTATTTACTTTACTTTACTTTTTCGTTCAAATGCATTTTCATTCTGCACTTCGCAGGTGATTTTTCATAGTTTGGTAATACAAAACAAAAGTTTATCTTAACATATTAACATTTTGGGACCGTTTGGAATCTAACCAATAACAGCGAGCACCTCTGCAGACTCAGCTACAGCCAAAGGTATGTAAACGGACATTTCTTACAATCATTCGAACAAATTTAATTTCAAATTGAAAACACATTTCTTTGAATATAATTTAAAATCGCACGCACGGAAGAACCGAAAATACTGGAAAATCATTATACTTCTTTCTTTCGTCTGTAGATTTTAGAACTGGCTCGGAATTATAGAATTTAGGACTATTTCGGAGCTATCGAAAAGGTATGCAGTGGGTGGCAACTGACACTTCCTAGGACATCGCCATGTTGAATTCGCCAGTTGTTTGCGCGAAAGTTATTTAGCGCACCAGTTCAGAACTAAAGATTTTCCCCACAGGATATGGGAGCCAATTTTGACTCCACTTGTAGCCTGCAAGTGGAATTCTCATCCAGAAAGAATGGAGAAGAGACGGAGGAGGCCGATAAAGGTGCTATTTCTCTATTTACCGACGCATCCAAGACAAATTGAGGTGTAGAATTAGAAATATGCTCCAAAGAGCTCGGTTTTGGTCTGTCTCTACATTTGGGAAATAATACAAGCATCTAACAAGCAGAAGTTCAAGCCATCCTAGAATCCTGCAAAGTCTTAGGTAATAGATTCGGGTACAAATATTGCCATTAGCAATTGCATCACCGATTACCAAATATTAAATGACCCACAGTGTCTCAGCTAATGATTTTCTGTTTTGTCTGGGTTCCCTGATCTTTTTTTGTCTGGGTTCCCTAACTTCAAAGGCAAAAAGAGGGCTGATGAATTGGCGGAGCAAGAGCTTGTTTGGATGAATCCGAAGCGGTCAACCTGGGTTTCCATTTTGGGATAATCCTAAGAGAAATAGGTATTCTGAATTTTAGCCATAATCATAGGGTAATGGCCTCTAGACAAACCAGCGACAAGAACAAGGCTTCCCTACAATAGAAATGGGTGCAGCTTTCAGCTAGAAGATAGCGAAGACAGTGTCCTACATTTATTTTATAAATGCTTAGGCCTTACGAATGTTGGGTAAGATGACAAGGAAGACACCTAGTAGACAAATAGCAGACCTATCAGGAGCTACCTTTAGCGAAGTAGGGAAATTCTTCAGAGAAGTCCGTATAAAATTTAACGAGAGTTCATTAAAATGGCATTAAAATCTCCATCACCAGGGATGCACATTTGTGAGATACCCATACTCACCTTGCGCAAACTCGAACTACTATTCATGGCCTAATGTGTATTAAGGCAGTGGTTATTAAAACCGCTAAAACACCGCAACAAAAACATATAATTCTATTAATTTTTTAATGACTATTTAAAGGAAAGAAATGTGTTAGATAGGGCGACATATACATATGTATGCATATACATAGCCTACATTATGAAAATGTTATCGTGTTTAAACCTTGATTGTATCCAGTTTATTTTTGACAACGCACTACTCAAGCAAACCACGACAATTCAAGCACACCCATTTCATTTTACCCACGAACTGCTCTGCAGCATAACAGATAGTTATTACATGATTTGGATACTTAACACTTGAACAAATATTAATTGCTACAAGTGGTTATACTGTTGACTTGACCGTTTATTTTTGCAAACAAACAAAATTTTTACATTTTCATTTTACATTTTTTTTTGTCGCATCTATGGAAGTGTAATTTTGTTGGGGTGAATGAGAGTGAAAGTTACGAAAAGCTTAAATGCCAAAATTAAATAATGTTGTCGTCCCAACCAAAATAACACAGTCAATTACAATCGTAATGAGTTGGTCTATAGGGCGACGAAAAATAGTGTGAAAAATAACAGCAACAAAAATGAAATTCCCATTGGTAATAACGACTGTTAGTTAGGTAATTAGCCAAGAAATAACAATAATTTCTCACAGAAGCATCAAAGGTATACAGTTAAAGCATATGCAACTTAATACACAAATGGCCCCAAATGCACATACTTGCTTTTTTTTTTTTTTAATAAGTTGTCATTGGCGTCTACAATTAAAAAGTAATTATTTTGTTTAAAACTTTTGGATGTATGTAATGACGAAGAAGCAGACAACAAATGTGGTATACATACATACATTATAAATGTTCATATGTACCTACCTACATACATTAGGGCTGGCCAATTTGTATGGGCGATTTTTTTTTACTATGCGGATGAAGTATAGGGGTAATCTACGTGAAATTCTAAGAGAACTCGCCGAAGAAACCATGGCTCTAAAATCAATTTCGAGTTTCGAAAATAGTTTTTTTTTGTTCTTTACCAACGTTTATTTTTCTATAAAACCATTATATAAGAGGTGTTTTGGTATCGCAGTCGGTCGAAAAATGGCAAAATTCAATCACGTGTGATTACTTCTATTTTATATAGAATTTTAGTTGTATAAAAAAACCGAATTTCAAGAAAAAGTAAAATATACGTTTTTCCTTTAAAACGATTTTCTAAGAAAAGGATAAGTCCAGAAATGGATTCATCCTACCAAAATACTTACTGTAGCATGACTTTATCACAAAAATTAAATTCTTCTTTACGACACCAAATCAAAATAAAATGATGCCAAGGAAAAAAAACCTATACGCGCCATTTGGCAAAGTCGAAAGTGATTTTAGATTCCATTGTTTCTGTAGCAAATTTGTTTAGTATTTAACGTAGACTACCCATATGCTATACCCTCATAGTAAAAAAAAAATACCCGACCTAATGTATGTACATATGTACATATAAATCTTGCGTATGTGTTTTTGTAGAAAAAATTATAAACAAAAGTTAGTGCAGTAAAAAAGAAAGACCTTCTCAAAGACCTTCGATGCTGCGTTGGCTTGTGTTGGTGGCTAACTATTTTACAAATAAGAAAAAAATGTTTTTCGTTATTCAAAACTAACTAAGTAACATTTCAATTTGCTCAAATAAATATAATACAAATTGCGCAGGAGTAGTTTTCGCATTGTGGGCGAATAGCTGTGTGGCAGTTTGACAATGCCAAAGGCGTGAAAAAGTAATGTTAAATGACGCACCATAAACAATATTTAATTATTTACTTAAATGTAGCGCATTTGCAAGGAAATTGTACGTATGTATGTATAAAATCCATGAATGAACTCAAAAAATTGAAAGGGGGATTTTTATAGATTAATACTCATTTTCGTTGTTGGTGTTTCCGCCTGAGTAGGAGTATGATGTATAGTATTTTGGAACGAACGGGAAAGAAACAACACAACGCCGAAAATGGTTTGTCTTCAATTTGACAAGTGATGACAGAAAATCGTTCCAAAATACATCATAAATAATTTACGTTTTAATATTTCCTAATGGAGCAGAAAGATCTTGTTGTATCACACGGCAAATGGGTTTTATGAAAAGCTTTTTTAAAAGCAGAAATACACTCGGCAGTTTCCCATTGCCTGCTGAGGGGCAACCGTTGTTAGAAAAAACAGAGTGCGTGTAGTTAGTAGTAGGAAAAAGTTAGCAATAAAAGTGTTTAATATTTATGTGCACATACTAAGCTTACATAATGTGCACATATTAACCTAGTTATAATTTTCTATTGAACGAGTTTTATTTGACAGCCTTTGGTTTCGTGAAAATTTCAAGATTATCCGGTATTTGTTTGTACATACATATGTATAGGTTAGGGTTGCCAACCGTACTATAATATATGGAATTGTACTATTTTTTCGGTCTGCATACTATTTATTGTTGGAAAAGATATAGTATGCAAAACTACTATACTTCTTTAATTATATATATACTTATATATATATATATATATATTTGAGTAATTTGTGAAAAAGTGCATTAAAATGGATGACCTTTATACTGAAATATTAAAAGAAATATTCTTTAAACTAAAGGACTAAAGTGAGTTTATTAATAGAGCCACAGATCCAAAATGGCAAAATTTTTCAAAATACTTAGAATTAATTACCAAATTTACTTAAAATTATTTCGTATCTGCTCTCTATTCCTGCAACTTCTTT